TTATCCAAGGAGTAAAAACACTGGACTGAATCAAACAAGAATAAAAATGTTAAAATAGGGATACAAATAAGAATTAAATACTAAAAGCATGCATTACGTAATACCTCTGGTTTGAGAGAGAAACGGCTGTGTGTGTGTGTGTGTGTGTGTGTGTGTGTGTGTGTGTGTGTGTGTGTGTGTGTGTGTGTGTGTGTGTGTGTGTGTGTGTGTGTGTGTGTGTGTGTGTTGTACTCACTTATTATGTGTTACATTAGAGTGAATAACAAAGAAAAGCCAAACTTACACATCCAGCATGCTGGGGTCTGTGAACTGCACAAAGAGATCTTTGTCTTGAAGCACGCCTGAGCAAATAAAAGGGCGTATTGGGAAATGTAAGCATTTGCATACTTGCACAAAATAGGATGGTAATATTAATCAAACTCAGCAGGTCTTACCTAAGGCAACTGGGTCTAACCTGAGCCCGGGTGTGGCCACGATGATCTGATCCAGAGAATCTTTATTTGTCAGCGTTTTATAAACCTATGTGAGGGGACAATAGAGTAAGCTTCATTGGTAAATATAGATCTGAAACATTTCGATACTATCTACATGTTTACACTTAATACACATGCAGATTTTACACAAGGTTGGACGAGTTACCCACTGATGGTGAAACATTAAAATAAAAATATACAGTACAGGCGATCTACACATCCTTTGAATATAAATATACCATCCTTGACTTCAAACTACATTTGAACCATCCACAGCGTTTTATATAGATCTGTCATAGAAGTGTAGATCTATTAAGATCTGAGGGATGTGTAGTGGTTTCAAAAGTTGGTGCTGACACAGCCCTATCCACGTCTGTGCCATTATCCATGGATCAAAGTCAAAACTAGTTGAATCTGAACTATCCCTTTATCACTTAAGCCAACATGCTGGTATTCCAAAATGGTGCGAGTAGGTGGACACCATGGAAAGCTGCCAGGCATTAATAGCTAAACCTCTTCCTGTTGAGCATCATCTTTGACCAGCTCGATGCTGATCTGACACACGGGAACAAAAATGCATCCAATCAGAGGTCAACAGCTGTAAACACAGGTGTGACTGCACCCGAGGGAACAACTAAAAATAACCCCAGCTAAATAGTTACAAGGTTAGTGTGTCCAAAAATGTGTTTAGTGCCAACAACACAATGCAGTCCTGTATTCGGCAGTGAAGGACAACCCATTTAAACCTCTACTGAGTGTAAGGCATGAGAAAGCCACCAAACTCCAATGGGTACAGTGATGTTTGTATTCCAAAGAGGATGAACTCTATATTTAATTCACCCTTTTCCAAGTTTGGTGAAGTTAAATCTCATCAGAAGAGGTCAACCAGAGCGCATGTTTTCAAGTCTGAAAACAAATCTTCACAAGGCCTTAACCTATTCCCTTCTGTTGTAAAATAAGGCGGCGATATTGTAGCAAAGGCAAAACAAATATGGAAATGAATACACGTTTTATACATTATGCCAAAGCAATATTCAAAATATATGTATGTGGAATGGAACACAATTTAAACTCATTGGATCATAAAGGGTTGTCTCCACCATGTGCTTGTCCCTGTGTGTGTTTTCTACTCACTGAGTCTCTGTAGGCAGAGTTTAGAGAGTGTAGCGCAGCGTGAAACACCCTGAACTCCCTGGCTGCTGTTGCTCTGTTCACAGGCTCTAGAAAAGGAAAGAAAAACTGTTCAGATTGACTTTCACTTACAGTACAGCTTAAACAAAATGTATTTCAATACTTAAATGACAAAGCAGACAGACCTGAGCGGCTCTCTGACTCTGGCCAGGTCTTTTTGAGGATGTGTAAGGTGGATCCCGGTTGAATCCCGCAGGCATCCAGAGTAAGGTCGTCCTTAAGCTTCCGACCACAGTGGACAAACTCTGATATGAGACATTATCACACATTTTAAGACAAATAACAATAAGACATACATTACAACTACACACAGAGATGCATTTCATTCAAAGTTGATGGCTTGAGGTTCAAACACCACACATGTTACACACCTATTAGTTCAGGATCTGGGAAGGAGTCTGGGATCTGTGCTGCGACAAGCTGTTTTACAGTGGCGATTCTGTATCCTCCAGGAGGAACGTCCCCAGGCATCATGTCTGGGAAGTGGAAGGTGGATTTGGGCTGATCCATCATCTTCAGAGACAGGCGCCATTCTGAAGAAGTCATCGCTACCTATAACATAAACAGAAAACACACTATCAACTACGTATTTACTCCATATTTGACGAGCTGTTGTTATTGTAAGCCGGTTGTTATTTACGTTAGCTATTATAATTTCCACTATGCTATGACACGTTCGGTACCACATGCTATAGATAATATCAGAAATGTGCATTATCACCTCCAGCTTAATCTTTTTGGGGGGTTTTGACATCATAAATTACGTTAGCAAACCTGCTAAACCCCTGTTAGCTTCTTAGCATTTGCTAAAAAAAAAACAGACAAAAAAACATGCCGGTTCGCAAATTCAACGTAATCTATTAGTAACGTATGTCTGGTTTAAAAGAATGCCTAGCAAATGTAAAATACATTACAGAAATAAATGGCATGACAACTGTAGCCGTTGTAAAATAACCGCAGACTCACCGTTTTATTGTTGACACTCGATTCACTTCCTGGTTTTTAGTCACGTGGTCTACGTAACGTTTACTTGCACCGTTCAAACAAAGGATCTTTCATATCTGTGTTTTCCTCTGTATTTGTAACCATTGGTAATCTTAAAGTGTCTCCTTTTCCTCTTTCGCCCTCACACATAAAGACCTAATTGTTATCCAGTTTAGACCACTTGCATTATAGACAATATGTCCATATAGGCTACCTATTTTGTAAAACAATAGATAAACACACAAAAAAAAACTTTTCCTGTGCTGCGGACCAAAGGTTCCCAATTGATTTTCCTGCTGCTACACAGCTACGTATTTAACATTTTCTAAAGCTGTGTCATGTCTTGGACAACAATGTTTCCACACAGTAATGTCTGTCTGTATATCTCATTTTAGGGCAATTTAGGTCAAGTATTATTATTATTCTTATTGCAACCACATAACTGCTCACTAACAACAGCCTAGTTGTCTTTGGCCTACCACAAAACTGGCAAATGTAATTTATGAATCATATTAAATAACGTGTCTAATATATAATTAATCAAATGGATGTATTAATCCACAAACAAATTATTAGGCTATACAAATGTGCACTCAAAGTTAATTATGTGAGTTTCATTCCTATGGTTTCATATAAACTGCATAGTTGGCACTGGCAGCTCAGTGATACGTTCAAGAACCATGTGATAAATCAATGCGGTTATTATAAGATAGTCTATACAGGCTACATGTAAAAAGTAATGTCGTGTGCCCAGCGAATGAAAGCAGTTGCATATGAACCAAAACGTGTATTTATAAGATACTTGGTCTACTGCATGTGTAAAGAAAAAAAACATGTGTGTTCACAAACAGTTAAGCAGGGGGTCGGGACTCTCCAGTCTCATTTCTCCCCTCGGTATGACATCACTGCTGGACAAAGCAGCACCAAGGAGTGGTTACCGTGAAGAGACGCGTCCCAAATCAATGGAAGACACTCACACACTCTGAAAACACATATTACAGCTGTTTCCACCGTCAGGAAGAACTGTAATCGGCTCAGCAAGTTTTAGAAGTGCTTTGTGTTGTCCGAGGAAGGAACTATACTGTGGTAAAACACGTCGGCTTGTGCTGGTCAGAGAAAAGAGGAGTCCCTGCCGCTGGATGGTTGGTGCTTTCCAAGTTTCGCCTTCCTAACATGGTAAGAAAGTTTGATATGAGAGCATAAGCTAACAGAGACGATATCGAAGACATAACTTTGGTTATTTTCCAACACGCGCAACAGCTGGCGGGGAACCCCATGAACTCGAGCTAGGGTGAGTGGTTCACAGAGATGGCTTTATTCACTGGCTCTGTGTCATATATCTGTTATTTGTTGTAGTTTTAAAAAGCAAGCCAGAGGCCCGCTAAGCTATACAGTGTAGTGTTTCACAGATGTAGCTAATAACATCTATGAATGAACAGGACGGCGCCCCCATTTGAGAAAAAGTCAATACTGCAGCAAGGCATTTCATCTTTCTACCTTCCATAAGTCAAAATAGGGACATAACAGTCAGCTTTTTTTTTAAACATACAGTAATACATTTTAAATAAAGCCCACCAAGTGCTTTATTTGGAGTCATCCAGCTTCAATATGACGTTTGATAGTCTCCAATATATGGACCTTTTATAATAAGGAAACACCACATATCTAAAAGTATAAGTTTCCTCACTCTTTCAAAAGAGGCTTGGTCACACTGATAGCCAACCTGAGATTTGAAACCAAATAAAGGAACAAAACAAAACTGAGTAAATATTAGCAGGATAAAACAGTTAGAAAATACACGTTTCCTACACTGAAAGTATGCTTTTATTCAGAAAAACTGAGAGGTTTGGGAAGCGGTGGATAGGAGATGCTGTAGCCTGGTGATGTTGCCTGGCCTCATGCTGCCCTTATCACATGGTAATGCAGCTGTGCTTTGCTGGCAGGTACAGCTTCCTGTCATGTAGGAGGATGTAGTTACTGCTCTGACTTGGCTAGGAAATGAGATATGATATAGTGGAAAAATAATTATGTTATTTGACAATGTTTGAGATGTTCACATTTTTTTTCCCGGGATGTGATTGCAGTTTGGCAATTCATGGTCCTTTTTCATCTCCATGTTATTGCACATATGTCAAGCTGCCATAAGATAAAGGTTATGCTAAATTGGCTCCTGCAGCTTTACAAAAGCAGGATGTTGGAGTATCCGTCACATTGCAAACACTTTTCTTCTCTTGACAAGACACGTACAAACAGCTCTCACTGCCACGGTTGCTAATTATCATTGAGATAAAAATAGCAGTGTAGTATTGGGCTGGGCAAAAAGGCCAACGTCTTCTCTCACAATAGAGGTTATGTCATATTTCGATAACAGTATCAAGATACATAGTAGCATCTTTTCTGGTACTTCAATAAATACATAGTCTATGTGAAAATAAAAGATGATATCGTCTATCTTTTTAGTTTCAAGTGTGAATTAAAATATATAACAAATGAAAAGGACTGTCATTTTAAAAACAGTTTCTTAATTAAACAAATTAAGAGTTTTTAATAATATTCTAAAGAAAAAATGTTTAAGCCTTCATCCCGATAAAAACGTATACATATATATATATACAATAAAAAAGTGTGTATCTTTTGATATATTTCATCATATTGCGCAGCCCAGGTCTATTATTATGTTGCTTAATGGCACTGATGCATTGCCTAGTGTAAATGCCTATAGGCCTATAAGTAAAATGGAGTTTCAGTTAGTTAAAAATAAAGTAACTTTCATACATCCCCTGAGTCAAAAAAGCTTTCTTTAAGTTTATGGAGCTCCTCTCTTTTCAGTTTGACGAGCTAATGTATAATTTGACCAATGACTTGACTACTATGGGAACATTTCCTTGCATTAAGTGAATCCAGCCATCCCTTAAGAGGCCTGCTTAATGCTCACCACCGCTGCCATATGGATTTGAAAGGCTCGTTTTCATCCCATGATGCCCTCCAAGGGACAGGGGTTTTCCAGGTGGGAAATGTTCCTATTGTCAAGGGTTGATCGGTTCCCAATGGTTTGAGAAGCTTGGCAATGGTGCCAGCCATATGCCAATGAGACATTTGGGCTCAGAAGGTCAGTTTGATCCATTATATTAATAGTGTTTAAAAGTGGTCTTGTCATCCAGAAGAGGAAAAGAACAGTTGTGTCAGTAAAAAGACAAACTGTTAGAGGACCACTGTCACAGATTCTTCCAAAGAATACTGAGTTGGTACAATGACCATGGCGAAACAGTAAATCTTAATGTTCTGTGATACTTAAGGAATAATTTCTCTCTCGTTTGACCTCAGTAAGAAGCTTAATAATCCTTAGCGCAGTGTCAAAATGAAATACACTGGTGATTATGGCTCAAAAGCTGCCGACCAATCACTAAAAGAAAGTCAAGACATTCATACTGTCAAACATTCTATCAGTGACCGACTCTTTTACATATTAATGATCTTCAATTAAGAGAGCCGATAATCAAAAAGAGCCATGAATAAGTGTATAAGTCATTGGGGTAATATACTGATGGATAACATAGCCTTTTAAAAATACAACCTTTTACAGTTAAAGTTGTATCATTATATTCTTTGGGTTGCGACTTGGGAGCGTGGTCAGCTTGTTTTGATTTCTGACAGTGAGTGGAATCGTTAAAGGTGAATCGTAAAATGACAGGAAGGAAAATGCATTAACAGGCCGGCATGGGGTCCTTTAAAAACCTTGAGTCATTCAGTAAAAAAACCTTTTGATGGCTTCCTGATGTCTGGACAACACAGACAGTCAGACTGTGGTTTGGTGTGTTGGCACTTTGTAGTTCATTATGTCTTTAGTTGATATATTTACAGAAATCTTGTCCTTTTGGAGAGGCTGGCTGCGGTATGTGCCTGGTCTTTTCCTCATTTGATATTTATCCCCATTTTTAATGTCTGCCCATTGAATAAGCCACATTCTCTGCCTTTGAGGGCAAGTATCTTGGGAGATTCAGATGGTTTTGCAGGGATCTCTTTTGAGTTTGTTTCTGGCAAATGGTGAGTGTGCGCTGTTGGAAAGTTATGGATGAATCTGCACTTCTTCCCACATCCTCTCTGCTAAAGCCATACATGGAACCTCATGGAAAACGCTTTGGTTCAGCCATGAGGTGGAGCCACAGCTGACAGCAATTTCGAATCATTTATAACACCAAAACATCCCGACTGATCTGTTAGCTGCCTTCTCCAATCTAAAAGGAACTCATATATGTCCACATATAAAACTAAGTTTGAATTAAAAATGTGAATTTGATTAAACCTGAATCTGCTCAACCGTAAGGATTCACTTTTCTTGCTTTGAAGCTTAAATTATATGTTTCCAGTATAGACAGACACAAACTGTTGTTACTGATATCTTCTGTTTCTGTAAAACTACATGTAACACTATATGGCCTTGAATGTAGTTAACAGAAGAAACTAAAATGAATATGTGAAAGCATCCTATGACAAAAGGATGAATATGGAAAGATATACTGCCAAACAAAGGTTGGTACAACCCTTTTGTCTTTTTTATTAACAGCCACATAACTAAATGATAGAGAGAAGAAGAAATGTAACTCCTCCAGTGCATCTGAGCATCCTCAATGCCAGTTCATACAGACCAGCAGTATTAAAAGCAGTTGCATTTCTGATGTGTGCTTTCCATCTTGAACGCCAGCCCTAAAGATTTTTTATTATGGTCCTTGGTCTTGGAATAACCTTCAATCACGCCTTAAACTGATGGCACTTGTCCCAATAGCCTGTTTTAAATTGAAGGTGTCTGAGGTCCTTACCACCAGCTGATCTGGCAGTAATAAGTAGTGTACCTTACTGTCCCTAATGTGCACAATGTAGTGACTGCTGCTTTTTGCCTTTTTGTTTACTTAGTTGTGTTTTCTGTATTTTATATGTCTGTGTTATGTGTAAGAACGTTACTGCCTTCTTGGCCAGGTCAGCATTGTAAATGAGATTTTCTCTCAATGTTTTCATCTGGTTAAATAAAGGTTAAATACAAATAAATACATTTAAAAAATATAAGCTACTGCACATTTAGCTTTACTTAAAGGGGACCTATCATGCAAAATGCACTTTTTGATGTCTTTTATACATAAAGTGTCCCCGGTGCGTCAAGGAACTCACACAGCGCCAGAAAATAAAACCTTGTCTCTTTTCCGCCGTACCCAAATCTCTAAAAACGGGGCTACAACGGAGCTGATCAAGATTTGCGTCCGATATGACGTAATGTCGGGAATGTAGGCTGGCTTTACACCCACGGCCCAATCAGAAACGTTGCTATCAGAAACAATGTCCGACTGTTTTGGACGTAATATGGTCGGTGCATGTTTACATTAGCATCGCTAACACTCAGAGCTAACCTGTACTGGAGAGCATGTGTGTGAAGAAGCAGGAAATAAAAAGGAACTCACCTTTTGTATATAACCGGCAAGAGAGAAAGCCTTTGAGCTCCATACTGTTTCAGAAATAATCCTTGATAATCCATGATATGGCTTCGGAGATGGTTCGATAACATTTGCAGGATAACGATTATGTAGCATTTCTCTATTATCGAAATGATGACATTTTATAATGGGATAACATCAAAGTGAATGGCC